CTTACTTATGCCTGTCTATGCTTATGCCTATGTCTTATCTATACACTTGTTGCTTGTTCATTTTCCTTTTTGCTTCTGTGAATTGGCTGAGAAGGGCCAGGCGAGTCAACCTTGGGAACGGGAAACGGGAGTGAGAGATGTTTTACGTTACTTACATAGGGCTGGGTGGCTGACTGACCGACCGACTGAACTCGCTTCACCTGACTTGACGGCATGGCAATGGCATGACATGGCATGGCAATGGCTGGCTAGCTGGCTGGCCGGATAGATGGATGGAATAACTTGCTTTAAAACATACCCTTTTTCATAACGGAGTACCATCCGTCCATATCATACATATTTCAACCTGCTTGCTTTGCTTTGCTTTGCTTGCTTGCTTCCTCTTGCTGTATACATGCCTTATCTCCGTACGTAGTAGTATGGACTGAGCTGGATGCATTCACCTGAGACGAACAAGACGAGTTATATACCACCTGTACGTACATTCGGATAATACTTGTGCATACCATTATTGATTGACCTCTTGACTTACTCCGTATTTGCTTCTTTCCGCCGCTTAACTAGTCCCGTCCCCAGCTCCTGTCCCGCTTCCTGCATATTTGTTATTCGCCAACAGCCAACAGTTTCCCTACAACTAATAACCACTAACTGTCCGCTGGCTGTTTTTCCCCTGGCCTAACTCAGTTACGTTACTTACCGCGCCGTGTGGCTTGATGTTAAAAATTCCTTTTTGCCTATATTCCACAACCCCCCCCTTTTCCCACTTGTGTTTGCGCCCTTGGGATTATCAGTTGCTGATCTTCGTCTATCTTCAACGAGCGTACTCCGTATGTTAGCTTCCATCCTCCACTTTTCTCCGGTTCCTGCATGTGTTGCTGCATACAGATGTCTGTTGCATGGTACGGAGTATGGAGTACGGCAAATCAAGGAAGAGCTGGTAACTTCGAACGGTCGGGAGAAATCTTTAATTGTAATAGTTACTAAGGAGTAGAAATGGATCACCTTATTTTGACAAATGCTATCTATACGGTAAAAGGGAAAAGGCCTTATCGTGATGCTGGGCTGGAGGGCTTTGCGTTGGTAGATAAACATGCATGGCCGGAGATATACTTATGGAGCGGGATGACTAGGAGCCCTTGATTTACTCATATCTTTTACAGTGAAAGTAGTGAATTATCCGACAGATTAATCCATAATTGAATTTGCATAGTAATAAGACCGACCAGAATTCTAGTCCATAGTTCTATGGCTGTCCGCGGCTGCAGCGGCTTTGCCGGCGTTGACCTCGCCTTGGATCAAATTCTAGACCTCAGATGGTCAACTATACAGCAACTATACAATGAAGACCACGACATTGATTCAACGACTTGCAGCTACAAGCCTGAGCCCATCAAAGACCTATAGGCGATACCATCTTCCATCCTCGTCAGGCCCCAGCGGACAGCCACCCTCGATATCGGATCAATATGACAAGTTCTACCGGTACACAAGCGGCCGCTGGCTCTGGGACGAAGAAAAGCAACTCCAGGACCGATTCACACCGTTCAATGTACCGGAGCTCCAGCGTATCGCGGCCACAAGCATTAAAGCCAACAAGTGCGTTGCCATGACGAAGCTGGCAGAAGGCTCTTTTAACAAGACCTTTCATCTCAGGATGGACAACGGGTCTACTCTCGTTGCCAGGATACCTCACCCCATTGCGGGACCAAAATACTATACCACTGCATCAGAAGTCGCCACGATGGATTTTGTAAGACCAAAGTTGCCTTTCTTGCCTGTAGCAAGTTACAAGTTGTTTGAACATCGCTGGCTTACTCTACCTCTACTACAGGCTCGTACAGTGCTCCAGATACCCGTCCCGCAGGTCTATGCGTGGAACCCACACGTCGATAACCCCGTTGGCGCCGAGTATATCATCATGGAGGAAGCTGTGGGGACAAAACTAGAGGATGTATGGCATGATCTGTCTCTAGAAGACAGACTTAAAATCGTAGAGGATCTGGTATCGATTGAAAGTAAGCTTCTTTCAGTATCTTTCAGCAGGTAGGAAATAACTAAGCAATTAATTCAATGAATTGCAACTCACACGAGACTTTAGATATGGGAATCTCTATTACTCTGGCCAGGCAGTCCCCGGGGCTGTGGTCGCTGACGTTGTGAATGATACAGCACCGGCGCTTAAAATGGACGTGAAGAAGCGGTTTGCTATTGGCCCTGTTGTAGCAAGGGATTTCTGGACCAAAGAACGTTCTCTGATGGATATAGATCGGGGTCCATGTAAGTCAATTTATCTCTATACTCTCAATACTTTCTTACCGCTTAAATTCGTCCAGGGAACCATCCACATGAATATGCGGTAGCTCTAGCACGCCGTGAACAGAAGTGGATTGAACAATACGCGGTTCCCGAGCCTGCCACCGATCCATCCACGACCCCTACAGCACAAAATTCCCCCGAAGCCCATCTTTCTCTTCTCAAAAAGTACTTACAAGTGGCCCCTTATCTCCTGCCCACTGATGACCCAGATCTCGTTGCATCTACCATCTGGCATACAGATCTCCATGCCGGCAACCTCTTTGTGGACAAAGGCCATATCACTAGCGTGATTGATTGGCAACAAGCTTGGGCTGGGCCCCTAGTTCTTCAAGGCCGTCACTCACGTCTAGTTAATTATGACGGGGATATAATTTTGAAACCGCCGCCGAATTTCAAGGAGCTTGAACCGAGTGAGAAGGCCCAGTTGAAAAAGCAGATCGCCAGTTCCAGAATTCTTTATCTTTATGAACTGCAGACAGCGAAACGCAACACTAGTCTCAACAAAGTCTTCCGTTTGAAGTTCGGGCGAGTAAGGTGCCAGCCTATAAGCTTTGTTGGCGACACCTGGGACGACGATATTCTGCCATTGCGCGAATCACTGATAAATGTGGAAAGGTATGTTGTGAATAATCGGTCATTTGAATTACAGTATCTGATATATATATAGATATTGGCATGAGCTTGGATTCAACTTTGCGTGTCCAATTCACTTTACACAGGACGAGCTCCGGAGACACGCAGAGGATGGAGAAGGATGGAATGAAGCGCAAGACTTTTGGAAAGCTATAGCGGGAATCGTCGCGCGTGATGGATGGACTCCACACGGCATGTATGATGAGGCTGTGGCTCTTTTTGCTGAACTCAGGGAACTCGGGTTAGAGAACATGAAGGGAAAGGAGAGAGATGAATTTGAAGCACAGACACGGTGGGCAGAGAGCTCTTCCCAGAGCCATAATGAAGGATGATACCCATCACTTCAGATGTCCAAATAACCCGTGGAACTCTGCGTCTTAATGATCATCAAAGTCCTGCAGTGGTGTGACTGCGGAGAAGTGGGCTGCCTGACGTCACTGCGAGCGTCTATGGCGTCTACGGCGTCTACTCTGACAGCTACGCAAGGTAATTATCAATACCCGGAAGACCCTTTCCTATGCTAATGGACACACGGGAACACATTACGAGATGCTTTAGATGAATAGGGAGTGTGGTAGCAAGGGCCTTCAATCTGCCCTATGAGCATCCAGCACGACCCGAGCATCCTCCAGGATCAGATGAAACTTGAGCTTGAGCTAGCTACCGGCTAAGTAGCTGGCTGTAGCTAGTTATATATCCGAGAAGGATCTGAGAATGAACCGGCCAGGGGGTCGACCAGGTGGCTATAGGGGTATGGCAGTTTTCACCTTCAACGCATGACACTCTTCTGGCCATGTTTGAGGATCAATGAGGAAAACGCCGATGATCCAGATGCTGGTAGCAGCCATGATGCCAACATGAATCCACGGCTGCTCAATGAAGGGTATTCAGTCGTGCAATCAGGGCAGTGCATGATATCATCATTGATAGAGACGGATTTATAGTTATGGCCGGGCTCGTCTGGGGGTCTCAGATGGTGATAGTTAGCTAGTCAGTCAACTAACTAACCAGTTAACAGGATATTCCCTGTCATTCATGATAGTTAATGGTCTAAGTAGAGCCTCGTAGTCGAGTACTCCGTAGTCTGTTCGATATCTCTTCATCCTTGCCCTTATCCCGGCTGTTATGCATGAGAGTTCGTGGGCGACTTCAAATTCCATCCCACGCCGGAGGTGGAAAATCTCCCTCCGCCACGCCCCGACCCGACATCTGGATACCTGGTTGGAAGCTTCACAGTCGACCAGGCCGGGGTTGGCGAAGAATAAAGACCAAGAGGAAGACTCCTTGCCTCTCGTCCGGTCTCCTGCGATTTACCAACTACACAGACTGCTTTCAATGAAGCTGTGACATGGGCAGCGGCAAGGTCCACCAGGAGCCCATCGTGCTCGTGGTCGATTTCCACCATGCAAGGTGAGCCCGCGCCCGCCCACCTTTTCCCCATTCCTCTGCCGCTGGATACATGCTATACCAGCGCACTAAGAAGAGACTGTGCTAACTGCTTTGCTTCCTATAGAGGCCCCGAGGTCGAGTTCTGGTTCTGCGACGATGGCGTCGACCCCGTGAAGAAGAATGACTGGGCATTGCTGCCGTTCATGGCGCTGTCGGACGGAGCTCATGCGTATGGAACACCTTCGCCCGTTGCCGTAGCTCGCTAGCTAGTGAGACAAGCAGCTGAATAAAGAGAGGGGAGAAGCTTGGGAAGCGGGAAGCTGACTCGGGACGCATTTCATTAGGTCTACGGAAGACTTCTCCTACTTCACGCTGCAGTGCAAGGAGACCGAGAGTTCCCCGGCTACCTCTCTGTTCGGCATATCTTGCACCACCCAGCTCGACTCGGACAAGCTGATCAATCGTCCGGCGGAGGTGACGCGGTCGACGGTGCAGAAGGCGGTGGTGGCTATCATAAACGAGCCCAGACACCTGGGCCAGCTGAGAGAGAAGCTGTCGATAGTCACCTCCGCATGGTTTGCTCAACGGTACGCCTCTTTTCTCCTCGAATACGGAGTAATGAGGCTAAGATGATCACTGACCCCCGGTTATAATAAATAGGGACTTTACCGATACGGATATCCTCCAGGTATGCGGGACATCGTGACGTCAGGTTGTTTCAATATGCTAATCCTGTGGGTAGAAATTCTGGGAAGGATTGAAGATCAGTTTGAAAAACGAAGATTTGCACAAAGACGAGCATTTCGGCCTTTCTTTACGAGAGATGATACATGAATTCAAGCACCAGACTTTAGTTTTGTTTAAGTGTCTATTATTACAGCCAAAGGTAAGCTATTCATCCATCGCCTTTGACTATATACCTATCAAATACGAGCGTTATAACTAACTTCTTTCAAGATGCTATTTTTTGGTTCCAGATGCGAGCGTTTATGCATGATACAGTTCTCATTAATTTCATTGATACCCGGCCTTATACATAATCTTCAAGACTGCGCTGATCCTGCTTATGATTCCTATGCGCAGACGGTTGAGAAACCGAGCTCGCTTAAAACTAGCGAGAGAAGTTCACGTAAGGCTGTCTCTTTCTTGGGTTTATATTGAAGACGGGAAGTATCTAATATGGATTTCTGTCAGTCCTTGCATATATGGGGCTCCCACTTCAGATATTCGGCAAGGGGAGCATGTTTGGACCGTATACGCCGCTTCAACAGCTGGATCTTCTCGCCGACTACGGAACAAAATCGTACCTTGTTGGCTCGACCAACTCGCTGCTCTTGCAGCAAAAGGATCGATACAGCGATATACTAATAAACGTAATTGTTTTCCAAGATTGCCTTAATCCGCCACATTACTGACTTATAGTTTATATAGCTTGACGAGGATACGGTGAACATATCGTCTCCATCGCTACGGGCGGCCCTAGCCCTTTCGGCTGCTGATCGCCGATGGATTGATTTCCTCACCCAGACAATAAATGATACCTGGGATGAAGCACATCCTGCACAGCCAAAGACCCATGGGTACATGGGATCTGAAGAGTTCATCCGTCTCCAGTTTGAAGAATACCTTCTGGCTCTGATCTCATGCGTAAAATACCACGATGAGATAAATTCAGGAGGCGCAATTAAGCAGCCTGCCAATGACATCGAGGGCGATCCCGCGCTGGATTTTAACCTCGACTTCATCGAACACTGGCGCCGTACCCCTAACTTTGCGCTCTTTGACAAACTCACTTCCGACGCCCTGCTCTTCTCCGTAGTCGAGCCACGCCACCCGTGTGCGGGCGGGCTCGGCATTGAGGATATCCAACGGCGGCTGGCACAGCAAGTTGCAGATCTCCATCTCGACGAACGAGTGCGCGAAGGTCGCGAAACACTCAACAAACATCTTGCCACGGGTCATCAGAAGGTCACCACGGCCTTCAACTCTCTCTGGGCGGAGCTCGAAGCAAGACGCGAGGCTCAAAGGAAACGCAACGAAGAAAGGGCAAAGCAAGCTGCAGCAGCATCCATCACTGCGGCGCTGGATACAAGCCAATCCAACAACAACAGCAATAATGACAGCAGCAAGCAAGAACCGGGCCCTGCTTCTCCGCCCCCAGCTTCACCCACCCCATCGACATCCGGGTGGTCCTTTGCTGCGCGAAAAGCTCCCGCTGTGGACCTGACGCAGGCCCAAGCCACTGTTTCCGCGGCTGGCCAGCGAGCTTCCGCATACTTTAGTTCGTGGGGATCGTGGGCGAACGAGCGTCGCAAGGAGTGGCAGACAAAGAACACGAGTACGGGCGCAAGTCCCGTTTCATCTCCGACAGCCACCGGAACGCCCAGAGCGTCGATGACGAGTACCTATCACGAGAGACGATCGATAGAGAGCTCGACGAAAGATCCTGTTATGACTGAGATGAAGGAGATGCAAGCCAAGGAAGACGTTGATCGGCCGGGGTCTTCGAGGCCCCAGAGCAGCGACCAATCAACGGAAAAGGACCATATAGATGCTGTGCTGGAGAGTGATCCTCTATCTTCGTCTTCTCATGGAGCAGGCAAGGCTCCTACGACCTCGTCCTCAGGATAAAAATTCATACATATATTTGCTGATTTGAATTGGATATATTTCTTCCTTGGCTTCTGGCAAGGGCACATATAACTATTGGATAGGTAGTTTGTTTGATATTAGCGTTCTGCAATGCATTACCTTATTGAATAAAAGACCTTTTCACTTCTCTACAAACAAATACCTGCAGCTATGAGATATTGGATCAGCAACATAAAAGGGAGGTTTGTTTATTTTTGTACTCTAGAGCACGTATAACTGATTCAGAAGTAACCTAGTGTGAATGTGAAATGGCAGGCTGCTCACTGAGTGCAGCAAGTTAGGCAGATCAGTTGTAGGAATGAGAGGAAGAAGGAGAAGAAGGGGAAGGAGAGAAAGATAAGGAAGATGAAGGGGAGAGCCAAAAGGGCAACTAGCAAGAGAGAGTAAGGGTAAAACATATGTCTGCGTATGCAGTGGCTGCGCAGTAACAAATCAGTCTATTTGATGCACTCCCTCTTTCAACCCACTCCCCCCTTTTATATCATTCCGCGCGCTGCCAAAATAGCAATAACAGAAAACCACCTGTACGTATGATACAAGGAGGGGAGGGGAGGGAGGGGGAGAGGGAGTGTAGACCAGAGTATGTTGCGCAGAGGAAGGATATTTAAATCATTGGATCATATACCGTGAGGGCGAATTTTGTGGTTTGTGGTTGGTTGGTCAGTCGTTAAATTACGCGATGTACGATATTTCATCGCCATCCAGACGCTCGATATATTCTTTCTCCATCAAGCCTTCGATATTCTTCTTTATATCGGATATTTTGGGTGGGAACCGAGCGCTGACCTGCTGGATGACTTCTTGTACAAGCTGGACGTGCTTCATGCGCTTGCGGGACTTCATGATACGCACAATGGCAGACTGCAAAAAAGAAGTTAAAAAGGTGAAAATATAACAAGAGGGATTGTAAATACTATTCTTACCTGAAGAACCAACTTTCTGTCCTCCTCGACGGTCTTATGTGTGTCCTCTGCCTCGTGCTTCTGTTCAGACTTGACTTGGATGTTCAAGTTAACCTTAATCTTCTTTGTTTTAAAGTGGTAGTTTAGTGCGTAGGAAGTTCCTGGACCAGGCTTTGCGTTCTCTGGAGAAGGAATGAGAACCTTTGCCTTGACGAAGATGCCAAGATTGGGGTCTAGAACATCGGGGGAGAGGGCAGTGGCCTTTTCGATCTCGGAGTATTCAAAGACATCGCTGTCATTGTAGAGTAGAAGAATGCCCATTTGGTAGGTTGACACCTGGAAAGTGTAGGGGAATTTGGTGTTCTTGACATAGTTTGCTTTGATTTCGCCCTTGCACAGCTGCCAGAGCCAGGTCAGCTTACGGCCGCTGTGCTTGTCAAAGTAGAACGACTTGAAGCGCTCGACTGTCTTGTTGATGACCTGAGGAGGGATAAACTGTGTTGAAGGGGGGTTAAGGGGCCAGAAGCCAGTACCAAGGATCTGGAAGTGAGGGTCGACCATTTTCTTGCGGTCTTCTTCGTCGAAGGTTCTCTCCTGCCACTCACGGTAGTTGGTGTTTAGATCCTTTGAGATCTGGATATCCTGGAACATTCGCTGGAGTTTGTTGGTGTACTCGAACCCACAGGCTTCCTTCAATTTGCTAATCATGCTAGTTTCAGCATCGTCAGAGACGGAGCTGACATGGACGAGTCGTTTGGCGAGCATTCGAGAGTAGAACTTCTGGAAGACATCCTTGTCTTCGATATATTTGAAGACGGTCATAATCTGGACGAGAAGCTCCTCCAGCTCCGACTCTTCGGATGACTTGGAGCCCTTCTTAAGAAGGGAGTCGGTGTATCTCGCCAGCAGCTCAGGGGATTTAGTTGAGCTGGTAGTGCAGAGGGCATTGCGGTTGACGAATTCGCGGCAAGCATTGTCTAAAGACCGAACAAACTCTGTCTCACCAGCAAATGCTTCATCCACCATGGATCGGTACTTCCCATGTACCTGGAGCAGAGAGTCGACATAAACTTTCGGGTCAACGCCTTCACTCCCAGCGGAGGCTACCTTAGCGATTGCGGACAGGCCAGCCTTTCGGACGTGGGTCTCAAATCTGTTCCTCAGTGGGTCCAGGCCGTCCTTTATTTTTGACAGCAGTCGGTACATTCTGGCAAGGTCATCTTGTCGTTCAGCATCCAAGAGGGGCTGGAACTCGTCCCGTATAAGGTTGCAATGCGAGGTAACTAGAACATCCAAGCATGTTTCTGTCAAATTCTTGGTAACGTCTGGGTGGAGGTATAGGTCGATGCGGGCACGTTCTTCCTCTAGGCGAAGCTCTGCCTTTTTCATGTATTCGACAACGCTGTTTTCGGCCACGAAGCGCTTTGACTCTCTGTCATAGTAGACTCTGGTGGCCTCGATGAACGGCTTTTCAAAGTAGTACTGGTAGACAACGAGAGTCGACTTGGAAGTATCGCTCTCGTCCAGGCCAAGGGAGACGAATGAGTTGACGATGTGCTTTATCTGGGACTGCTCGATGGTCTCGCCATTACGCTGCTTCTCGATGAGGCCCAGCACGGCGCTCATGACGTTTTCGTGGACGAGTCTGAAGAAGTCCTCCTTCCACCTAACGAGGTGTAGGGTGTACACATCGTAAATGTCCTTTTTGCCTTCGTCGACTTCTCGTTTCACCCAGTGACGGTTTAGATATCTAAAAAGATGGTTAATGTATTTGGCGGATGTAGTGTATCGAGTCCATTCTCTAATGTAAAATGAAAGGAGGGGTTCGTCAGTGTGGCTAAGGGAGGCTTGGTAAACACCTCCAAGATGACGGGAGAGATAGTGTCCAAGAAGGTTGTAAAGCTCTTCACCTAGCAGATGTGCTGTAACCATATTGTCAGCTAAGCTTCATTTGGCTTGTTTCAGGCTGGTAGCTGACAACTCACCTCCTCGCGTGTTATGGGCGGATGTATTGTGGCTTGTGAATGCCTTTTGTGAAGTACAGAAGTTGTGGACGGCACTGTTGATAGTGATTAGTTACCCTGTCTCTCTGGCTGGCTATCGAAAGTGAAATAAGGGGAGAACCAACGTGTAAACACCCATGTACTGGAAACGAGGTTAGCTATATTAGTTGCCTGCATGTATATAATAGAGGAACACAATCTGTCCCGCTCACAAAAGCATTTGAGGAAGCCTTACAGAAGCCATATCAATACCACTGTTCAGATCAGTCATCACCCTCTCGATTCCCTGCTCGAGAAAGGTCCATCTATAGGCGAGATGTAGTCAGCTCACGCGCTCACCGCAATACTCCGGAGGGGGGAAGCTCAAGGAAAAAAACTCACGTTTCGTCCAGGTCATCTCGATGGGGCGTCGTGAATTTGGGTGGAGGCATATCTGTCGACGCTGTCGGGGGATCTGAGAGGCAGAGACAGTGTAGAACAAGGGCAGGCAAAGGGGGTCACTCGAGGAGCAGCTGGCAGTCTCTCAGGGGAGAGAGGGCACGCAGCAGAGCGTTGGTTGTCACAGAGTAAAGCCACAGCCGCCGCAGAAAATCTGTCACAGAACGAGACAGGCAGCTTGTCGACCGCGGTCTCTGCTACTCGAGCGCGCCAGGCAGGGTCTCAGCAAGAACTAAAGCGCTTCTGACGGACCGAGACGGCGTGTGCGGGTGTGCCAGAAGTTCGTTGCGTGTTCGACGTCGGCGAAGAAGAAGAAGAAGACGAAGAAAGCGGAAAGGCGAAGGACAGGCTGCCGCTTACATAAGCCAAGTTTGGGGGCGGCGGCTTATCGATAAGAAGATGACGTCGCTTTTTTGTATTTTTTTAATTTTGTATTTAAAGCTGGAGAAAGGCGAGAAGGCGAGGATGACGACGAGAGAGGATGGCAACAAGTGAAAGTGAAGAGAGAGTATCTACGGTGCAGTTGATATAACTATATACGTTGAGAGCTGGAGACGACGATGGTCCGGCCGCTAAAGGAGCTGCAGGTCACGGAGCGCCTGATCCCGGCCTGGGGGAACTTCCCCAACACCTCGATCCAGGAGAAGCCGCTGCTCATCTACCAGTCCGTCTTCGACTCGGCCTCGCCCGACGCCGTCAGAGAGCATCTGGAGGCCGTTGGCGCCGTCGTCCCGCAGTGGACGTACTCGATGTACCCTGCAAACCACTTCCACTCGAAAACACACGAAGTGCTCAGCGTGGTGGCCGGACAGGCGAGGCTCTGCTTCGGCCACGAGGAGAACCCAGACAGATTCGAGACGACCGTGTCGAAGGGAGACGTTATCGTGGTGCCGGCTGGAGTGACCCACTGCTTGCTCGCAGACGCACAAGGTGACTTTGCGATGGTAGGAGCGTATCCGCCTGGGAAACAGTGGGATCTGTGCTATGGGGAGGAGGAGGTTGACAAGCAGGCGTCGGTGATACGGTCTGTTGGCTGGTTCGATCGAGACCCGATATACGGCGACTCGGGCCCTGTGTTTGCTGTTTAAACAAAACAGTAAAAGAAAAGAAAAAGAAAAAGAAAAATTGCGGACGAGAAGGATGTAACAAAATGGCTAAAATGTATACTATGATTTTATGTAGTCAAGAAAAAGCAGAACTGATGGATGCATCCAAAAAAGGAAGATCCAAATGCAAGGTGACTGGACAAAAAAAGGGGCGAGGGGGAGAATAATTATCGACACCGGGTCCAGTAAAACAGTCTTCCCAACCCGTTGTAACAAGATAAAGCAAGCAATAATAAACAAAACAAAACAGATATTCCAACGATAGATGCAAAAAAAAGGGGGGGGGGATAGGGAAACAATGGGATTGTCTAGAAGTAGAGTGACGGGGTTATGTATAGGTGGTTGAAAGAAAACATGTGGCAACATGCAGCGTAATGATGCTAGGCAGCAGTAACAAAGGGAGATAATTGATAATTGTATGGTAATAATGGTGTGTATAAGAGAGTGAGGGTAAAAAGGTCCTACTTGGCTGCCACTCGCTCGATGACTCTGGAATAGGGAGGGACGTTAGCAGCGGCAGAGATAATTGGGGCAGAGATAATTTGAGAAGGGAGAGAAACATACCGTAGAGCACTGATCATGAAGGTCATGAGCCAGGCAACCAGTACAACCAACAAGACGGCAGCTAATACCTTCTGTCTATCACAGATCTTGTCGTTCCTGGGGTGGATGGTGAGATCTATATCTCCACTGGAGCATGAACCATTCACATCGGACAGAGAAGCAAACGCTAGGCTGAGATTCGCCGATGCAAAGACAATAAACACCAGGTCGAGGAAGATCAGCCGTATCTTTGCGCTGGCTGACCGCAGTCCAAGCGGTTTGCCCGTGTACTCATCATACGTGATATAAACCAGGTAAACAAGTGCAATTGCATCGAAGATAATGGCCATGAGCGGAGACGGACCTTGGGGCCGGCTATGTGTCGTCGAGAGATGTCGAATTGATCCGCCCAGCGAGAGGGCAATGGCCGAGAAGATGAAGACGGTAAGACGGATGATCAGAGGCACCATGGGACTGTGCAGGATCTTGTACTGAACCCTTTTCATCCATATCTTCCGCCGCTGGATGAAGGTAGCCGAGTGCCGGGCGCTCTCATCCGCCTTCTCGTCGATGTATCCCTGCCATGGATCCGAGTAGTCGCCAAAATTCCGGTTGAGCCAGTCTGCGTCGACTATCTTGTTCTGCTGGTGCGTCGGCTCTCGGACCTGCGGTACAGACCGAGTGAACGTCTTCCATCTGGATTCTTGCGTATAGTGTGTGTATGATCGGGTTCTTTCCGAGAGCTCTCCTTCTCCTTGCTCGATATCTTTCTCTCTCCGGGACTCTCTATCGAATGCAAAGTCCTTCGCCTTGGGTGAGTAGTGGTGGCTGGCAACATGGGCGTCTCCTGGCGGCACCGGGAATGACTGTGACTGTGACTGTGATTGTGACTGCGACTGCGACTGCGATGGTGGTTTCGACGGGGTCTCCTCGTCCTCTGCGTGTTTAACCCAAGCTACGCAACTGAAGTCAGCATTGGCTGTCCTCAATTGCTCGTTACAATAATAACGATAAGTTCCTGGACCTCCAACCTACCTGGCACCGACCGGACAGCCAGCTTCCCCGAGCCCTGCGTCCGCGGTATCGATCCCTGGCTGTGCGGCGAGTAGCTCTTGGAGGACTGGCCGTGTCTCGAGCCGCCTATACGCTGGTATACCGACCTCTGCTCGTCTGACTGGCTTGCCCCGGAGACCGACTGCGCGGATCTGCGTCTCGACAGCGGCGGCTCCAGCAGCTTCAGGTCTGCTTTCCGCCGCGGAGAGCCTCCCCGAGACGTCGACCGATGCG